TATATATATATATATATATATGTACACACATACACACATTTATATATTTAGCACGCTGAATATTCCCAGCGCCACGGTGACATTACGTAGCCATCGGAACTATGGGAGTGTCAGGGGGCTGGGGCGGACTAAATTGAGTCGAAAAGTCCTCTACCGTTTTACAATTTTCGCAATAATTAACAAGATATTATATAAATTATTAGAAATTGCCGAATATTGGTTTCCAATAATTTTTTACTCAAGTACTAACTATACTTAATAGAAAAACGGTAAAAGATAAAAATTGTTTATTTTCTTTTCATGAAATTGGGACAAGGAAAGATTCAGTACCAATTTCACGACACGAAACAGGCCGGTATTCATAGTCGATTCTTGCATTTAAAACTGTCTTCCTCCTTATGAACAGTCCATAGACGGAGAGGGCAGAGATTTAGAAAGAGTCCAACTGCACATACCATGTTATCCCTTCCACCATGGCACGAGCGAGTCTCTCGGTTCTCTCGCTCGCGCTCGAAAGCTTCCGAATGCGAGTAGGACGGACGTATCTCACTGTCGCGCTCAGTGGCGCCGAGCTGAGCCGAACACGTGTCCGGATCTAAACGTGCAACACTGCTACAGAATAAACATTTCTATGTTCTTTCAGATTAAAAATCCACCTTATATAATCCATCATTATCTTTTCTAATTTTTCCTTTTCATTCAATCCCCAATATTTTCGTCCCATACGCCATAACACGTACTTTACATTAGATATCTATAAAATCTACCTAAAATCATTCCTGCAAGGAAGGCTCCGATTGCACATATTACATGTTGCACACATGCGTCGCTAATTGGCCAATTTAAAGGCCACAACACACACTTTTGTATAACGCATAGTGCATAAGCGAATCAACTAATCAGAATCTTTCCTTTCCTCCCATTCCATGAAAAAGAAGAATTTTGATTGTCGATTCCTTTATACACTATGCATTATGCAAGAGTGTGCTGCGGTCTTTAAAATAAAATATTATTGATAAAACAGTGAAAAATTATTAGGCACCAGCTGATATGAGTGGTGAGTGCAATCGGGATTGTAGGCGGGATCCTCCCTTCCTGCATATTCTCTTACCTATGGTGGAAATATACAAGGTGAAGCAATCTGATGGATGCGCAGTAGGAAAGTGCATATTCGGACATTTGATTGGCTATTTCCAGTATAGCTACCGCCATATATTATGCGTATTATTTTCTTATATATTTACATCATGCTCTTACCTAGACCTTCTTTTCCACCAGCTTACCTCTTCTATGTAATTCCTGTATGTGTTCTCTTCATAGTGATTCCTTCTATTCAAAATAAAACCTAAATACTTGAATTCCTACACCTGTTTTGTTTCCTTTTTGCCCTATTTCATTTTTTAATCCTCTCTTCTTCTCCTATTACAAACTAACACCTTTGTTTTACCAGTACAGAGTTCTAGTTTTCTTTCTAAAATTTTTTTTTAAATATGTGCGTGTGTGTGTACAAATAACTGCGTTCAGCGTACTCAACAGTTGAGTGAGCGCTTGCTGAACTGTTGAGTCTACTGAACGCAGCTAATGGGAGAGGTGTAACCTTAGAACATATATAAATGGAAGGGGCATTGCCTATACTTGCCCATGGCTCGCGCTGATGCAAACATGTGTGCGAAAGAGAAAGGGATAAATGTTCTTAATGCGCATGCGCAGCACCACGTTTTATACACTGTGTAATGTACGAATGCGTAAGAAACACTAACCAACTGCACAATTCACACAGATGACGGTGCTGCGAATGCGCATTGCGAACATTTATCCCTTGCTACCTTTCTCTCTCGCACAGATGTTGGCTTCACGTTCAGCGCCCTATTCCTCTTGCATTTATATATGTTCTAAGGGTGTAACACAGACCAGAGGCCTAACGCAAGAGGAAGATGACAAAGGGTGCTTTCCGATATTCACTGCCAGTGCTGAAACTATACAGTATACATAAGGTCTGTTTTTTATTGCCGCATTTTCTGAACTAATACACACAGTGCAATGAGTTGAAGTGAAACAAATATACGTTTGTTTCACTTTAACTTATTGCACTGATTCAGAGTGCAGCAATAAAAAACAGACCTATTACGTGTGCTATAGATTTTCAGTACTGGCAGTGAATATCAGAATGCACCCAAAGATGTATATATTAGCTGCTTTCCATTTACACCGATTCTCAGATAATTCTCACTTGTGACGTCATAACTCAGTTGAATGCGCGTTCTTTTTGCATTCCAACAAGTGAAATTCAACTGAGTTTTCACCCATAATCTGCATAAGATCGAGACCGTATGCTTCAGTGAGTTTCGTAATTCTCGTAAACTCGCTTTAAAGTGAGGTTATGAACCTGTGTTGACATGCGATAACTACCAAAGTAAGCAAGTAGTGACGTCATTAATCTGAGTATAAAATACTCAGCTCACTTCAGACTTCAGTTTCACTTGTGTGTAAATGGATGCAACTATTATTAACAGGATTTCTGTTTTATAAATTTAGATTGAAAGAAAGAGAGAAGTTGACTACCGAGAGACAGCATCGCGTGCAGCAACGGTTACTACAAGAGGAACTGAGAACTCGAAAACTGGAGGAGCGAGCGTACAGAACGGCGCGAAGATTGAAATTGTTAAAGCTTATTAGGCGAGAAGAACGAAGACTGATAAATATTAAGCGTGATGAGCGGATCGAACAGATTCAACAAAAATGCAAAATTGCGGCGGAGATTACTCGACGTAAAGTGATCGATACGTTGGTGGATTGGAAGAAAAAAGACAAGGCACGAAAGAAAGGCAGGGAGAAACGACTAATGAATATCGCACAACAAAAGCAGAAAGACATGGAAGAAAAGTACGTACATTATTAAATATATTTAATAATGGAAAACAAAATTTACCATGCGATATTTTTGATGAATAAAGAATGATTTAGTTTAGTAATTCTTGTAAACAAGCAGAGTAATCTGAAAAGGAAAAATCTACAAAATTCTTTTTCTTAAGAAAGGCGAATTTCAGATGGACAAAAAAGCGGCAGTTCCAGGAAAAGGATATTGCAAAACAAAAAATGTTATTGCAACGTATAGACGTTCGCCGTCAAAAATTCATAGAAGATTATAACAACAAAATAAATAAAGAAACAGCAAAAATGAAAAGTAATGTTATAAGAAAAAATTGAAGAAATATAATATTTCGTTTTCAATTATAAAGTTCTCAATTATAAATTATGCAATCATTATCGTTTAAATAAATTTAAAGATTTATTTTTTATTATAATGTAATTTTGCGCAGGACTTTTGGACGATGCGAAACTCTTCACAAACTGTTACATGAAGAGGCGCTTACCAGATGGAAGGAAACTCATTTGCTGCAAGAAATACTTAAAAAATAATATGGTAAATGCAAATTAAAATAGTCTAAACAGAAAAAAAACGCATTTTATATTAAATGTTGTTTCTATTGTCATACGGAAAAAAAGCTGAAGTAAAATGTAACTCATAAAATTCAGCGAATTTTCCGTCGAAATTCATGAAAGGGACGAAACAAAAAGTATGAAAAGTTTATATTTTTAATTTACGTTGTACATTTTCATGCTTCAAACTTTAATAAAAATTCTGATAACAGATAGGTACAAATGAACAGAATATAACGTAAAAATCGAAGCAGATTACAAGACAAATGATACCAATAAAGTAAAATAATAGTTAGCAGAGTTATTGGTAGAAAACATAATTAGAAAATGTCAGTCGAAAATTGTGTCAGCAAAAATAGAAGCAATTAATGTTATATTGTTAACGAAGTTGATATAGAAGACAAGTGTCACATCGTAAAGATTAATGTTAATATTAAATTATATTAATAGTATTCGAAGGTGTATTTTGAACAGGTGAAATATAGTAACGTTGTCACATAAAACTAAATAAATGTGCTCACGTCAATAGCTCTTTTAATAACAGCACACAGTGCTACGTATCCAGTTAATCCATCAACTTTCCATTCCTTCATATCCTTTTCGGTCCAAAGTGCAAAATTCAATGTATTCAATACGAACAGCCAATCCGCCGCTCTGTTGTCGTCTTTGTCAGGATGAAATTCGGACGACAATCGCACATAACTACGTGTGACTGCGTTAAAATTTTTATTATCGTAATTGCGAGACATATAAGCTATCACCTAAATAAACCGATTAAAATCTCATTTATAGTAACGTACTTGTTCTACAATCGTAAAAATTTGATGGGAGTTAAATTTACACAAAATTATATAACTTACACTAAATATTGATAACATTTATACAAAATTATATAACTTATCGAAATATTTTCAAAGAATGAAAAAAGAAAAACCTCGATTGATAATTCTGTTAGTTTCTTCATGTTGATGGACACGTCTTGTGACTGAGCAGCGACATATCGCACTGTATCAGTGTCTTGCTTATTCTGTGACTGCATAATGTTGCGTTTTGCTCATTGTTTCAAACTATCGTGATTATGTCGATCACGGATACTTCGACAAGTCTTACGATTGCGGTCACCTCGACAAATGTCACGACCATAATCGAAAAATAAACATGACACGAAAACACAAATTTTCGACAATATACGAAAATCTATTATTTGTTATTTCGAGATCAATCAAACGCTAAACTTTTATATAATATTTATCCAATAATTTTATATTTATTTAAGAAAATTGTGGAGCATTAGAGATGGGATGCCGTGTGACTCCGTGCAAGAGCAACAATCTTATAATCGACGAATTTAGAATTTGATCTCACATAGATTTTTAATTTGTAATTCGTAAATTATGTAAAAGAGATCTTACTGGCCTACTTAAGAATTGTGCGTGTAGTTAACAAACACATCTACGGTTATTGTACTAAGTTGGGGATTATACAATAAACAGTAAATAATTCTCATAAAAAAATTATAAGAAAACTCCCCACCTTTAGGAAACAGAAAAATCAAGATTTGATTATTCTCTAAAACCGTAATGACATTACAGGTTGTCGGTTACAAATTGCCAATTAATAGTTCTATTTTAGCGATGCAGTGAGCATAAACTACTTGTATCATAATTGGCTAAAATAGATTCGTCAACCGGGAACCGCAATCGGTAATCTATAGTGTAATTACAATTTAATGCCAGTGTCACACACTAGAATTTAGCTAATTACAGCAAAATGGATTAAAATTAAAATTACCTGATTAGTCGAATTCTAATCTTTAATTCGCAATCCTCAGTCTCCAATGCATAGTATGATATCGGTATATGAAAGAGCAGCAGGCTTATTCTGTAACTCTTAACGCAAAGTATGCCCAGTTTTATAGGGGAATTTGGGTCCCGGATGGACAACTTTGAGACATGCCTAAAATTTTAAGGTATCAAAAGAGAATTAAAAATTCCGTAAGCCTAACTTTATAGGAGAGGTTTCCTGAGTGCTAGAACTATCCAAAGTTCGCTATTATGATCATGTATCACTAGTCTTATCTAATTTCTCTGCGTCCAGGACACCTTCCCGCAGTGACTGCGATAACGGATTGTATCAAAGACATTGAAATAATATCTAAAATGTATTTGGTACAGTTTATTAATCCGGTTGACAGTTATATGGTATCTGAGATATGCCCAACACTTTGACGAAGATATCCATATGCCTGCAAGAACAGTTAATGATGTTTTTTTACTTTCAGAGAGTTCTGATGAGGAAGCTGAAGAGAGATAAGCTCCATATATTGGCGACATTTCAATTTGGCAATTAAAACCTTTTGTTTCATACTTTGAGAGTGTCTCCCCTTTTCATCGATTAATATATATCACTTATAACTATTCATTTGGGATCCAAAAAAGGTTTTAGTTGTCTTCGTCAAGATTGAACATATTCCAGATATTAGACAATTCGAGAAATCGAATAAAACCAGTCCTACATGGTACACAATACATGGTCATAATAGCGAACTTTGAACAGCTGTAGCACTCAAGGAACTCATTTTACAAAGTTGTGCATATGGAACTTTTTAATCCTTTTTTTATGTTCTACAATCCTAGGCTAGGTCTCAATACTGTTCAGCTGGGGCCCTAACTGGACATAGTCCTTTCGTTGTCATTATAACGCTGCTGCGCAGCTCTTTCACCATGGTAAAAAAGCTGCGCAGTGGCGTTATAATGATAACGAAATTTTTACAGAATAGATTTGCAGGACTTGGATTGTAACTTTATTGAATGAATTAGTCTTGGCAAGAGTAGCTTTAAATTTTTATTATAAATATTTCGGATACTAGTTGTGGTGTTGTGAACAGATCGTAGAAATAACAGCTTTGAGAGCAGCTAAATCAAGTATTGTCATTATTTTCGATCCAAAATAGGATCTATTGTTTGACCTCCGCAAATTTGACCCCATCCGATTAAACGCCAATGCTTTTCCACTCGTCTGGATAACGCGATCTTCTCATCGATCTCAGTGCACACTGGATTCGTCAAGCTGATCTTTGCCAAATCAGCACGAGTAGCCAGTACTCTGCCACCGGTGCTCAACGATCCAATGTTAACAAGCAGTACCTCTCCTCTTGATAGCTTTGGTACCTATCATCGGGATATTTACAAAAACATTAAATAAATTAAGATCTTTTTTATTACAGAATAAAAGGATAATTTTAGGGAAAAACAAAACTAGATATAAAGAATATAAATAATAAAGGAGGATATTAAAAAAGAGTCGACTTTTACCCCTAAGATACACCTTGAGAGATTTGATACATCTTGTTGTATATAATAGATCTTGAAAAATCATTGTTTGGATCCTTAAAAAACATGAAATAATAATAGTTTGTCTGGGAAGCGGTAACATTGCTAGAATTACTTAAATATACTAAAAAATGACATCATTTACATATATAGTTAATAAATAAAAAATGACGATTTTAGCTAGAAATACAAGTATGTACATTCTTCATTTAAAGATCACGAACTACTTTAGTACTATTCAAGATGCATCACATGGAAGTATAGTCCGCCTAACATCCTCTTGACAGAGAATAGAACTTCACTTTTTAGGCTTTCACGGGTATTATCTTCAAAAATACCAGAAAGTTTGCGGATTATCGCCGTGTTTTCATCCATTGCTAATGTCAATGTTTCGTGAACTTGCATTCTAGGCAATAGCATTTTATAAAATATTTTATATATTTACTGGTTGATAAATCAAAAAAAGGAACTGATGCTATTATTGGGCACACCTCCGGGTGCAAGATAGGTCAATGTGTTGTAGAACGTTGTTCTCACGTTGCAACACTCGTGTGATTTTTTTTGTAAAGCTCGATTCCAAGAGAACATCTCGATTCCTGCTCCATTTTTCAATGGTTATTTTGAGGAAAAATCATTATCAGTATCATCAAATTTTGATGAAAATGCACATGAAATCATTCTTCGATGGTTATTTTGAGGAAAAGTCATTATTAGTATCATCAGATTCTGATGAAAATGCACATGAAATGTAAATTCACTCACTTTATCTGTATCACGCACGCACACATGATAGAGAAGGTTTGAAATCGCTAAATACCACAGGAGTGACGAATTGTGGAATCCTGATTTTTGTCAAGGAATATTAACCAGACTGTGGACTACCCAGACTATTAACTACCCTGTGTGGTACATTCTGGATAATACTAAAATAGTTCGCATCTTTATATGAAGAATGTACTTACATTTATTATGTACAGGGTGTTACGGATCAATACCACAGGAGTGACGAATTGTGGAATCCTGATTTTTGTCAAGGAATATTAACCAGACTGTGGACTACCCAGACTATTAACTACCCTGTGTGGTACATTCTGGATAATACTAAAATAGTTCGCATCTTTATATGAAGAATGTACTTACATTTATTATGTACAGGGTGTTACGGATCATACTAAGCAGTATTACGGGTTGCATAGCAGATTTTGCAGGGGCATGGCGCTGTTCAGTGGTAATGACTGCGTGGCATAGGTAATTTAAAATCATAATTTTTCACTTATTAACTGTATGTAAATAATGTCATTTTCAAATTATATTTAAGCAATTCCAGCAATGTTCTCACCACTTTCCGGACAAACGATTGTTATTTCCGGTTTTCTGAGGACCCAAGCAATGAATTTTCAAGATTTATTCAGGTGTATCTTGGGGGCGAAACTCGACACTTTTTTAACACCCTCCTTTATACAGAGTATCTCTGTATACAGTGCCACAATTACAGCTAGTGTTTCGGTTTCGTCTCAATGAAATGAGACTATCTAGGTCTCGGACTCGGTCTCGACCTGATTTCGAAATTCTGGATATAGTCTCGGTCTCGAATCGAGAATTGGTTTCAAATCGAAAATTTTTTTTACCAATTATATTTTACGGACAAATGAATAAACGTGCATCCAGATAATGGAGCTAAACTTCGAGCCGGGAGCATTTGTTATTCGCCGAAATACTCGCAGTTCAAGGTTTAACTAGATAATCTGGACGCACCTTAAAACAATTGATATTCGCGGATGACTTCTTCGTTCAGTAGAAGGTTTGATGACTGGCTTAGATTCTCAGTCTTGCCGAGACTCTCGGCATAATAATTTCGGTCTCGTCTCGACGGAGTTGGAATGACGAAACGAGATCGAGACCAGTCTCGATCCGAATATTAGCTACAGTGGCTTCAGCATATGAAAACAAATAAAAAATGTCTAATAAACATAAGTACGATTTTGAACGATTTCGGAGTTACGCGATATTAAAGTAAAAAAACGTGAATCGTAATTGTAATCGTAATTGTTGTTTAATGTTCGTTGTTCTGAATCCTGAATCTTTTTCTGAGACTAAATCTTTATTAATCAGTATGTGTACCGAAGGTCGCACGTGCAGCGAGAATTCACTATCAATTTGTGGACTGGAATCCTTGCTGATCCATCATTGCCTTCTCATTTGACAAAAGACGCTTACTTTCACTTTTTGAGCGATGACCTACTAGTGCTGTTGGAGGAGTAGATTTCCTAACTCGAAGAAACATGTGGTTCATGCACGACGGGGCACCATCTCACTTTACACTTCGTATACGAACATTTCTCCATGATCACTATCCTCAGATTGAAAGAAATCAGGATGCTCCTATTAAATGGCTAGCGAGAAGTCCCGACCTCACACCACTGGATTTTTTTTCTTTAAATGGAAGATCTAGTCTACCAGAATGAGATTCAGAATGCAGAACAATTATGGAACTGATACTTAACGCTGCCGATATCTCCACAAAACTCCAAATATCTGTCGTCAAGTCCGAAACAATTTATTAATTCGTGCTAGAAAGTGTGTCGACGGAGGAATTTTTGAACATATTTGTAAAGTATTAAATAGAATAACGAACGTTAAACAACTTTACTATTTATATTTTCTTACTTCAATATCCCGTAACTCCGAAATCGGTCGAAATCGGACATATGTTTATTAAACATTTTCGACTTGTTTCCATGTGCTAAAGCCGCTGTAGCAGTTTTGGCACTATATGCAGAGACATCCCGTAT